GGAGGATATCACTCCATTACTTTCTCTAAAGCAAACTTGTTCTTATTTTACATTTTAAAGAAAGCCTGTCTTTTCAGTCTCTTTCTGTGACATTTTTCTCTAAATATCTCCCACCTCCACCTCCAAATGTATAAAATATTTCATTTTGTGAAACTCCTGCCTGTACCACACATGCTCAATCTTATATGAAAGTGGCTGTTTTTCCCCTTTGAAATCTTTTTTGAGGACCTTTCTGAGCCTTTTGTCAACCCCTGCAGCCTGGATTCTTTTCAAATAAAAAGTGGGTGGGGCCAACCATACTCTTTCAAAATAAGCAGGTTTGATCTTTTCCATTTATGTGATCTATTTTAAATTTGGGTCATTTGGGCTCACTTATTTCTGAATGGGGGGGAACAGCTTTACCTTTAACAATCTTAACTTGAAGACTCTTTGTCCAAATGTCCCCAAATTTGGCACAGAGCAAGAGAAGACTGTGTGCTACATCTGTACACATTATCTGTGAAGATTCTCAGTCATCCAGGTGAGGTTATCTGGAAGTTGAGTCATGGCAACTGGACTTCTCCCTAATTAGCTTCTTCGGTCTGAGAAGAGTTGGTAGGAGAGTCCTGAAACCCATTGGTTTCACTTCTCCCTGGTCTGAATAGGCTCCTTAGATGGACAATGGATGGGGGGGGTGAATGAGAATCCCACCTCTGCAGTCCTTCTCCACCCATTGTCATTGGTCATTAACAGTTGTTAACCATGGTCTTTCTGGTGGGTGTGATAGGTGGTTTGAGAGAGGGGTTAGAGAGGCCAGACATGTGCATGTAGAAGATCCCTCACTCAACCGGAGTGGAGGCCTTAGCCACACTCTATCTCCTATTCATCATTCTGCTGTTTTATCTATCCCCAGAAAGATCAGGCCCTAACAATGGGCTCAAGTTACAAGAACCAGATTCAGGTTGAGTATCTGCAAAAACCCCTTAACTGTTAGAGTAGTATGACAGTGGAACCAATTACCTCAGGAAATGGTGAGCACTCCAATGCTGGAAGCATTCAAGAGAAAATTGGACAACCATCTGTTAGATCTGCTTTGATTTGGATTCCTGCATTGAGCAGAGGATTGGCCCTTCCAACCCAATTATTCTATGATTCTATATGATTCTATTATTACCTACCTCTTGGCTATTTTAAGTGAAATAACAGGGGTGCAATCTCATGCATTCAAAGCAGGTACTCTACCACTGCACTATTTGACTACAACTTCCATAATATCCAACCACTGGTTATGCTGTCTGAGGCTTCTAGGAGTCAACTCCTTCTGAAAGACAAAAGACCCTCCACCCTTGTATGAAGATTAGGGAGGAATATTTACAGGTGCAGTTAAAGGGGGGTGAAATTGCAAAACCAAATCAAGACAAAACAAAGTTTTGTATTGTTATATATAATTTCCTGATTACACTGGTGAAGGGCAAATACATTATTCCCACGTAGAAATGCTTTAGATTGAGAGAGAGATGTATTGTTTAATAATAGAATTTGCCCCTTAAGCATTTCAAATCACATTAGCATCAAGAGTCAGGGACCAATAGAGAAATAAAACAAAGACTGATGGTAAGAATGCCTTGTTTGTAGTGACTAAAATTCATTCAAAGACAGGAGTGGAGGGGGGTGGAGTGAAATTACTCATTATGTTTCCTACTAAAAACTATGTTGATATAATAAAGAATCTACAAAAACTGTTCATACTTGAAATGCCACTTTCCTTGATGACAAACAATAACATTTGCCAATTTTGCCTCTCTAGCTACCATTTATGAATGCAATTTATTTTGAATACAACAGCATGGAAGGCATTCAGCAGTGGAGGTTGTAAATTCACAGCTACCAAACTGAATAGTATTCCGAATCTTCCGTAAAAAGAGAAGTTTTGTTGTACAGTGTTGCGAAAATGAGGGATGGAGCTATAGGCTAAGCAAGCAGTACCTGGAGAACTGTTTAAGTAATTAAATAAGTAAGTTCTCCTGCGAAGAGCTTTGAACCTTACTCAGGTTACAAGTCCTCAGAGTGACAAGTCAAGGGAGAATTACAAGTTTTATGTGAATAAATGGAACCACATTGGAAAGTTGTTTTAAGTGGGCAGCAGGGACTGTTTTAAGTCAGTACATTGCTACAGATTATTGGGCTTTTAAACAATTATTTTATCCTATTCTGCTTTTTTGTTTAAGAAATCTTTATAATTATGTTCTTATTATTGCACATTGTTTTGTTAAGCTAACATAGTAAGCTATCTTCAATATTTTGTAGAAAGATAATATCTTAACTTTGCTAATAGTAAAGTAAATCCTCCAAAAAATTAAGCTCAACCCAACTCAGCTAATTTCCTGTTGCTGCACCTCTTGGGGTTGGCTGTGGAAAAAAAAGTCTCAGTTATGAGATTAACTACTCAAATGGGAAGCAGAAGGAAGGTGTTGTTGATTTATTCTTTGCCAAAGGATACTAAATTATTGTAGCATTATTAGAGTAACCCATTTGGCTACACCCCAGCCTTAGGAAGGATTACCAGGTCAATAGAAGAGGTTTGCAGTTTTGTGGTTTTGGACCAAATCTCTTAGAAGTCCCCAGGCAGCAGGGGCACTGGCACAAATTTGCACTTCTCTAATCAGTACGATTGACTTCTGGAGATTTCAGGGCTAAAAATTGATGCTAAGGACAGGTCCTTGTGAATGAAAAGGTACTGATCCTTAGGATGGTAGGAAATAGGGCAGGAAAGAGAGTTATGCTCACTGGCTCAGTGTACAATTGTTGCACTTGCACAAGATTGGCTTACCACAGCTATGAGTGAGAGAAGAAGAGTAATGGAAGGCCATATTGGTGCTGACTTGAGCACGCAGTGCCATTTGGAACAAGGCAAGGAGTAGCGCAAATGGAAAACTGGAGCTGGGGGCAGCATATCTGGGTGGCTGGGCAGTGGCATATTACACCTAGCAGCTGCAGTGATTGCCACAACTTCTGCCAGGGCTTGCATCCCACACACCCAGCCTTACCCCCACACAGCACACATGACATACAAGGATTTTCTCCCCACCCCCAATGCCCTATACTGCTGCTGGAACCTTTGGAAAGCTCCCTACTAGCCTACAGGGAAAGTCCCCCCTCCTTTCAAAGCCCACTTCACTGCTACTAGGACTTATGAACGAAAAGGTTCACAAGTTGATTTTAGAGCTTGGACACACATTTCCACTTGGGGCACCAGGTTTCACTAGCTTAGTGCAAATGTGCTTTTCTGTATGTGGTATGTGGTGTATGTGGTGTAATATTGGTGCACTCAAAAACTAGGAGCAAAGGGAGGGACTAGAAAGAGAGTCAGTGGGTATACATGCATGGGCCCATTATGCCATGTGACATGGATCAGGGAGTAGAGTGCCAGCTTTACAAGCTGTGAAGGACTTCCTCATGTAACTCATGGTCATTAAAACATTTACGTTCTGAAGAGGTTGTGATGGCTACTAACTGAGATGAATTTAAAAGGACATTAGATGAATTAATTGAGAAAAATGGTTGCTAGTCATTATGTACCTGTGTAAATTCCATTACTTCAGTAAGTCTACTCCAGTAGTGACTGCCATTGATTCTACATCATTAGGTCTCTGTATTTGTGCTTTGCTGCTATAAGAATGAGTGATTGTAATTCTTTCATTTCTGGAGAGAATGAAAGTTGCAGTACAACTCAGAAAATTAAAGTCAGTATGCCTCAAAATGCCAGGTGTTGGGAAATAGTGGGAGAAGGCAGTTGTTCTCATGCCTTCCTTCTTGGCCTTCCCCCAGTTTCTTTTTGGTCATTGTTGGAAACAGGGTGGAAGATGGAATTGGCCTATTGTATGAGCCAGTGTGGATCTTATCCTTCACATACTGCTTACCCTTCCCCCCAGCACTGTTGGCAGAAGTGGAACTACTTTATAGTAAGCAATTAGAGAATTGCATTCTTTTTTTCTATTTTAGGAAAGCTGGAATTTCAGCACTGAATAGTAAGTGATTTGTCCATTTTAAAAATCTAGACAGCATGTATGGCAAAATCAGGGGTAAAATAAGTAACTAAGTATGCTCCCAGACAGACGGCTCCTAGCTCTGGCAATCAAAAGGCATTGTACTGCTATTGTGTCTTTCCTTCCTTAATGGATTCTTTTGAAACAAGAAGAAAAGACAGAAGTAGTGGTGAAGAAGCATAGGAGGGGTACAAGTGAAGGCCAGGTCACCTGGATTCACTGCAAAATTCTACATTTGAGGCAGGGTGACTGCATACAAACAGCCTTGTGTGAAAGCACCCCAAGAATTAGTTCTCTGCTTTAATCACCCTAAGGAACACTAACAAAGAAGAAACTCATGCATGAGCGAGTTTACTTGAGTAGCATATTACAGCAGAGGCACTCCACTTTCAAAGAAATGCACCAGAACAGGAGTTGTAATGGGGATATTCCTAGGACAACACAATAACAGCACTAGCTCTTCTTTAGAAATACAGTGGTGCCTCGCTTAACGAGCACACCATTTAACGATGAATCCACATAGCGATCTGTTTTTTCAGATTGCTAATGCGATCGCATTGCGATGTTTTCAATGGCAAAACATTGCATTGCGATGATCGGTAAGCATTTGCGATGTTTTTTTAAACAGCTGATCGGCGGTTCAAAAATGGCCACCGGATGCCCAAAATGGCCGCCACAACCATTTTCGCGCTCTGCCCTCACTTACCGAGGGCACGAAAATGGCGGCGCTATAGAGGAACTTTGCTGAACGGTGAGTTTGGGGCCCCATAGGAACGCATTAAACGAAGTGCCTATAGGGTTTTTTGATCCGTTTAGTGATGTTTTTGCACAGCGACGATTAATCCGGAACGGATTAACGTTGCTATGCGGGGCACCACTGTATTCTCATAGACATAAAAACCTACCATTTCCATGTTGCCCCAAACACTGGCTATCTAACTTTATGCAGTTTATTGAAACACTCACACCACTTACCTCCAATATCTGGCCGAAGTTTATTGTCATAACCTTGGAGCAAAGAGTTCAGTATATGAGTGACCTCTCCTTCATGGATCTTTGGGGCAAGCACCCATGTTTTGTTCACTGTTTGGTCTTCATCCTCCTCCTCCTCTGCTTTATCGGTGCTAATGGTAGTTGGATGAAATGAGATGTTGGGGAAGAAAAAAAGAATGAAAATAAACCATGTCCAAAACTGAAATATCAGAATCATCATTGCACAAACTAAAAATGTGAAGGCAAAATCTTAATAGGAGGAAGGTTCTTGTTTGAAGCAAAAGTCTGATTTCACAGACATAGTTAACAGCTAATTTCTAGAGCAATCTTAACCTACCCACAAAATTACAAGAAGCATTTTACTAATATAATACTGCAAAGAGACTTTGATTAATGAATATAATTAAATATTATAAAGGAAATTTCAGAATATTTCCACTTTATTATAAAATTATGAAAAAAATGTTTAGTATTATTTTAAGACAATAGCACAGTTATACAGGGAAAGTAGCTGGAGTTGGTAATTATGACCTCCCATGATTAACTTCTTATACCCTAAATACCATTCCCTTTGACATAAAGTTATTATCTTTTTAAAAAGACAATCAGTAGTGCAATAGTATACACTGCTACTGAAAAATAGGAACATGTAACTTCAGTGGGATTTATTCCAATATTAGAAGATATAGGAGGGACAAAAGCCTAGCAGGCAAAGCAATTCTGAAAGCAATTAATTTCATTTCATTTCTTCCTCTCCCTGCAATATAAATCAATTTTAACCTCCCTTCTTAACTCCCAGTGTGGGGAAAATACAATTACAAAATACATAAAGTTGCCTTTTAGCCAAGAAAAAGAATGCGGAGGCATGTATCAGGAAGCAGGAATACTCCTCTGTGAACATGTGGGTACACTAGAGCAGTGGTTCCCAAACCAGGTGTACTTGGACTGCAACTCCCAGAAGCCTTCATCACTAGGCTAGGGTTTCTGGGAGTTGCAGTCCAAGACCACCTGGATTACCCAAGGTAGGGAACCATTGTACTAGAGCATGGACTGGCCATACTGGATGGAAAGTTTTAGGCACTGTGGTCAAAAATTAACTTTCCAAGGTCTGATTCTCTTTCTTTAATATACACCCACCCTGTCTTCTATCTTACTTAAGATGGCCAAAAGGTCTCCATCCTCCAAACTCAGGGAACATGGAGAAACCTGTTAAGTATTGCTCATAAATGTGTCCCCAACAGGCTCAAAGTTTCCAGACAGGAAAATCAGCATTGTTTTCTATGAGGAGATAACATGGAATAATAATAATAATAATAATAATAATAATAATAATAATAATAATAATACTGTGACAACACTGAAGAAATGACACTTGGCTACAATGTAAAGCAGGGAGTGTACAGCTTGTATAACAGTGTAAATGTGCTCTCCTCTCAAAATAATGTAACACACAGCCATTAATGTCTAAACTGCGGGCAACAAAAAGTAAATACATCCCTAAGTGACAATCTCCAAATTGAACACAAAGTGTCAATATTTTGTGTGGCCACCATTATTTTCCAGCTTTAACCATCTTGGGCATAGAGTCCATCAGAGCTTCACGGGCTGCCATTGGAGTCCTCTTCCACTCCTCCATGACAACATCACACAGCTGGTGGATGTTAGAGACCTTGTGCACCTCCGCCTTCCATTTCAGGATGCCCCACAGATGCTCAATAGAGTTTAGGTCTGCTTGGCCAGTCCATCACCTTTACCCTCAGCTTCTTTAGCAAGGCAGTGGTCATCATTTCTTCAGTGTTGTTATATGAAAATATATACTAAAATATTTACGAAATGTAAGTGGTTGTACTCACATCTGTGATATACTGTATTTAAATGTTAGCACTGTTGGCTGTCTTGAGTGCATTTTTTTACCAAAACATAAATATATGTTTAACAAATATAAGGAGTATTGTTTGAATTTATTTCTTTTCATTCTTTCCTTTTATATTCCATATATTAGATTATTTATACAATGGTTTTAGCCATCATATAGTAATGGTTGAGGACATCAGGAAAAGAGAGGGGAAATGGCTTAGTCTCCCCTGTTTGTGAGTTCCAGAAGTCCGGCATGGCCACAGATACGGAAACTCGCAGGAAGAACTGCTAAATTAGGGCTGAATTCTGCCAAGACCCCACATTCTGTTACAGTCTTATTTTCTCAATATGAATAAAAGGGCACAGAGTGTGTCACCCACTGTGGATCACAAAATACACCAACTTCTATAATAAAAGTTCATTTTTAAAAAACACCCTTTGACATGTTAACATTTATACATTTCCCCCCAAAATTTTACCATTTAAAATATAAACAAAAAACTAACAACAATGTAGAATAAAATAAGCTCAGAAAAAGGAAATTATTTAAAACATCTTCCACTGGGGTGAACAAAAACTCAAGAGTGCCAGAACGTAGATCTATGTTGTGTTTTTCTTACATTTTCAAGCAAAGGTTGTCATGAAAAACAGTTTCTTTGGGCCACTTTGCAAACCAAACAAAAGTGGCAAGTGGCCATAACAGTTATTAAACTAACCCTGGGCTTTTTATACCAAAGTTTTATACCAAATGCAGTGGCATGCACTTTGGTTTAGAGAATGAAAGTCCACATTTCATTTTATCTTTTCCTTTTCTTGCACTCTGTCCCTGACCTTCCTCCTTTCCATTTTACCACTGCAGCATTCACAGCACTTTGCTCAAATTGCTCTGCAGATTCAATCACGATATCGGGATTATCTCCCATTCTTCCCTCAGGAATCCAAAGCATCACCTGAGTGACTCTCCGGGGCAGTAGGATCACTGTCACATCAGAGCCTTCCATATTGAAACACACAAACCTTCCATCTCCACCAAGCCAGGAAGATGTTTATTTAAAGCCACTTTTAAGCACACCTATTAATGGATTAATAGCTCAGGATACATTGACTCATGCAATCAGTACCAGTGGCCAAATATAGGGGAAAGGGAAGGATTTGCTGTTGTTGGTGATTTGATAAGAATGTGTCAAAATTCATAAATGCCACCATATTCAAGATGTAAAGAATTTGAGATTTTAAATATCAAGTGTGGGAAGGAACAAACTGCTTGGATTTATCCACCTGGGTCCAGAATGGCAAAGTATGGCCCTCCAGATGTTTTAATGCAACTCCATCAACCCTAGATAGCATATCCGAAATTGAGGAACGCAGTCTAAAACACTTAAGAGTGCCATAAATTTGTCAACTCCTAATTGACGCCCAGGTCTCTGAGAGCATTTTGTGGTTCTGTTCTACTTAAGAATCCAGGGCCTCTCATAAGATGCAAAGTATTTACTGATAGTTGTCGTAGGTTTATCAGGCTGTTTAGCTGTGTTCTGATATTTACTGATAACTGTTTATGACCCATTTATTTAAAAAGCGTATCTTCATCTTGAGCAGCAGCATCACTAGTCTTAGAGATCTCCTGTCCGGTCCGCATCACTCATGCTGCTCCATCTTTTACATTCTGTCTCTTTTTCCACAACTCCATTTTTGTGTGTTTTGTTCCCTGATCATTTCCTTACAAATCAAATCAAATCAAATCAAATCAATAAATAAATAAGTTGTAGCAATCCCTAAAAGGGACATCAAAGAAAAGAAGATAACAACAATGTATGGTGATGCAAATTCTAGGATATGATCCTGCATTTCACAACTTTAAATGATTTTATCTGATTCTGCTGGATCTGCATAACTGTACTCTAGTCTCCAATGTTTGTTTAATTGATTGATTAATTTATATACCACCCGTCTAGCATACTGCTACTCTGGGCAGTGTACAACATAAATAAATAAAAAAAAAACATAAATTATATAAAAATTAACTGTAGCACTTGATTGTTTCCTTTCTCTTTGGCTTGTGAAATGTTCCTTGCTTTCATCACTCTGTTCAGAAAGAACAGTTGGCACAGTTATATCTGACTGTGCCCTTAGAATAAGTTGTAGGGTTTTTTGTTTTTATTTTTTAATCTGAGGGTATATTTATGTGGAGCAGTCCCCTGATATGAATGAATGAAAATTCCTTTATAAATTCTAGGGACTTATGACAATCACATTCTCATGCATTGTCTGTTCAGTTTTTTCCCCCTGAACTATGGAAAATCTGTTCAGATATTTTTCTGAACTATGGAAGATACCCTTTGAATGGCCTGTCAATACAAAAACAGTGTGGACTTTTGACACCAGTACTGCACACTAAAGAAAACATCCACTAGGTAATCTGACTGTGACTGTGAATTTACTAAAATTGTCCTTCCCTGGTGGTTAAACTAAATTTTAATCCAGGTTCTCTGATGGAGGTCTGCCATGGAGCTGTGTTGTCTTTTCCCCACAAGCCAAATAGAAGTCTTGAGCTTCAAAGGAAGGCTATTTAGTGTGTGGAGTAGGAGGAGGGGAGGGAATGCAGAGTATTTGGTGATTCCTTGTTTGAAGAGATGGGACATAAACTGTACTTGAGGAGGAGTTTCCACACAACCCCCCCCCCAACTGTATGCTGCTCAAAAATGCTTGTTTGGCATGACCAACAACCATGCCAAGAAATTTCAAAAACTGCATGATGAAGATTGATATGTTACCACTGAAAGCTTGCAATTGAATTTTTCAGTGGTCCAATAAAGGTATCACCTGCTTCTGTATTACTAATTTCAAGTATCCCATGTAATGATATGGTTAATTATATGGTCACAAGTTCTATGGTCTTAATTAGATGTCTCATGATAACTGGACATATTCCTGTCAGCGAAGTCATACCAATCCTCACACGGGGTCCTAGATATAGAGGGGTTTCCAGTATCGTGATTGGTTCCATTATCTGAGACACAGAATAGACATTTATAGTTTCTTCTTCTTTCATTCATGCATGCAAAAAATCCTTTGCCATGATTATGACCTTTCTTCCTTTCCCTGTAATTTTTTCACCCTAAGAGGTGGTGGAGTAGCAGCTCTAGATGCTCCTGCAGGAAGAGAACTGCCTTTCCAAGCTTTGGGTGATGTATTGCAGACATTGGTTCAATGCATTACATCCACTGGGTTTGACTGCAGACCTGTGAGGAAAGCTACACTTTCCTGCAGTTTTCTC